CCATCCTTTCAAAGCAATCTGAAGATACTAACTCCATTTTTAATGTCTTTGTTCTTTTATCTTCTTCTCCTTTGTGTAGCTGCTCATTTGCACATTGTAGTGTTTGTATTTTACCATGGTCATCTTTGAATTATTTTTAATTTTTTTATTTATACATATAAGAACAAGTACACATGCTAGAGATGCAGGGGGTGAGAGGATTCACCAGAGACAGAGTGGGGAGCAGAACAGGCTGAATGAAATACAATGCTGAGGGGAGCAGTGGGTGAGGCAGGAGAGATCTGCTGTGCCGTGTGGGTCACTTTCCTGGCTGGCTTTGAACTGTAGTGGCTTCAGACAGCTTCATAACGCTGATACTTAAGACCTTGTGCCACCACAGAGGCCCCGTCTTGAATTTTTTTTTATTATTAATAAAAAGCATATTGGTTGACTAGTAGAATTACTTGGCTATGTCATTTTATAATTTGAAAGAAGAATTTAACCATGAAGTCCATCACTAAGAGGGTATGAACTATGATTCTACATATAAAGAGGTCAGAGCGAAGCTTCTTTTCAGGATTTGTGGAGAGTTCAGTGTGTATCCTTGTAACTCTCAAGTAAGGAGGGCTTTACCTCAGATGGTGTAGTTCTCCAGTGCATTTCACCCCCAGATGGGGCTTCCTTCCTTTTCTGCCTTCTCTGACTTGCTTGTGAAGGTTTGGAGGCACCTCAGACATTGTGCTGGCAACTACACAGGAGGCTCTCCCAGAATGGCTTCCATTCTGGTGTTTGAGTTTTTGCTTTGTCTCTAGGTGGAGCATGTGTTACAGCCAGCTGCTCCCCCCACTGGGGAAGTGGGTGACTCACCAGAACTGAGGTTTCATGAAATGTTTCAAAATCTTTAACACTCGAGTTACAAGCAGAGCCTACCCCAGAACTCATGAATCTACAGCAAGCATTCAAGTTGAATCGGGACTCATGCAAGTCTGTGAGATGCTACTCTTCTACTGCCTTGTCCCCAGCTCTGTAACTACTGTTCCCCATCCCTGCAACTCCCCGACTAAAGCCTCTAGGTTCAGCCAGGAAAGGGGGCAGCACCCCAAGAGCCCTCTCCTATGGGTGCCCCAAGGTATCCTTCACTATGATCCACTTCAGTTCTTTGGCACACAGTCACACCTCCTTTAATGATGGTTTTACAGCCTGAATGTATCAGGTGATTTTTCTCAAGCGACTGTCATAGAGTACAATTACACAAACCTAGCTGGGTAACTGACGACACACCTCATCTTGACAGGTGTAACCTATTGGAGCCACTTCTGTGGTTAACCTGTCATTAAGTGATACATGACTTTGTATTTTCTACTTGTGAAGTAGTGCAGGAAACACCCAACTGCACATTGTCCCGATTAGAAATAAAATGGTACAAGTATAGGGGCCTCCCTGGTGGTGCAAGGGGTTAAAGCACAGCACTATGAATCTATCCTCAGCTACTGTGGCACAAGTTCAATCCCTGGCCACATAGCTGACCCACATGGCACAGCAGACCTCTTCTGTCTCTCCCGCTGCTCCCCTCAGTAATGTATTCCAGTAGATCCACTTGTTCTACTTCTTACTCTGTCTCCAGTGAACCCTCGCATCCCCCATACCTCTGACCTACACCCCAGTTCTTGTATGCATAAATAAATAAATCTTTAAAAAAAAAAAACAACTTACAAGTATAACTGAAATCCTTTCTCTGTGTCTGATTCCTCCATGTTATTCCTGACCACAGTGTGACAGCAGCTCCCCTAGGCCCCATGGCACTGAGGACCAGCTCTGGTGGCACTGTGTGGAGGTATCTGCACAGCTCTACATGGCATCCTTAGCTGGTGTGGGATATGAGACAGTCAGAATGTCCTGAAAGTTATGGTCTTAGAACGAGGCTCACTCACTTGGATGGCCTGAAAAGAACAAGGAAAGATTCAACTGGTAGGTAGACATTGTGACCACTAGAATGAACCATGGAGAGTGGGAGAGTGTTGGGAGGAATGAGAGCTTATTGCTACGTCTTATAAACATCAATGAGACTGCCTGTGATCCAAGGACAAGCTCCTCGAATTGGACACAGGGAAATGGCCTCCAAGATGCCTGTCAGCAGGAAACCTGACCTTCAGACGGCAGCAAGCAGAGCCAAAAAGCAGAGCCTTGCCAGTTCCAAGGCCTTGAAAGAACAGTCTTCCAGTAGGAGAAGAAGAAAACTGTGAAGATAGGGACTTAGAATCAACATGAAGCTAAGATCTCAGAAACAAAGATGAACCTGGGCCAGACAAATTACAAGACTGATACATATTCTTAGAGACTAGAGCTGCTGAAGTTCTCCTAGCTGACACTCAGAATTAGTTCTGGGTTATGTTAATCAACAATAAGTGCCCCCAGCTGGGGAAAAGGAAGGTGAGGGGAGTGGAAGTGAGAAAAGAAGGCAGGAGTAAAGGTGGAAACTAGGAGCCACTTATGAACTAAAGGGATTATATTGTAGTGTCGGTAAAGCCATGACATATTTCATTGTGTTTTCTATGAGAACTGCACCATAACTTTTCTGACAACCCAGTATTTTTCTGGATTATGAATAAGACAACATATCTGGACTTCAGAGGGGAGCACCCTGGCCTTGACCTTGGGCATTTCCTATCCCAGAGGGTCAGACTTGCAACCAGTATGAAAGGGTTGAGCTGGAGAAGTTCTCAAGTTGTGTCGATGAATGGAGTGAAGCAGGAGGGGCGAGGGGTGAGGGGAAACAGGAGGGAGATATGTGGGGGACAATGGAATGCTTTGGGAATCGCAACTACTTGGCAGCTCTGAAGCATAATCCAAGGTCAGAGGGAAGTGATCAGAGATGATGAGCTTTGGAGTTTGAGAGTCCTCGTTTCAAATCCTGCCTCTGCCTCACGCCATTTATATAACTTTCAGCTACTGAGTCTCAGTAAACCTAAGTTCTCTCCTCTAGTCACTGGGGGGTACAGGCAGAAAAAATACAAGAAATATCTTTATTACTGTATAATGTCCAGACTGCTTAGAGATTAGGAGTAAGAAAGAAAAAAGGACAACTTCAGAAGAGTTTATGTCATACTGGTTACTAAATTTATTCACTCTTCAATGATTAGTAAATTATGAATCTCATGAGATATACCCCCTAAGCACTGAAACTGATAGACTCCATGAATCAAACTGTTTCCTTCTCTTGATCCAAGTTCTCTCTAAAAGGAATAGTTATTTCATTTTTCTTTGTCTGTGTACAGATACATCTATTGGGATCTACTATATGTGTCTTCTCTGGTAAATTCCATGTTCATTAATAAATGAGGTTCAGTAAATTGTCAACTGCCAGGCTAGTGGTTGATGGACATTGAGATCATCTTGACATTCACCCCAAAGGTGGAAAATCATGATTTGTTTTTCTTTAGTTTTGTAGTTTTTTATATACATACTAGTTATCTGTAGTTTTCTAAGAATTTTTTTTAAAGATTTATTTATATATGCATACAGAACTGGGATACAGGCCAGAGGCTCAGAGGCAGCGAGAGGCTTCACCAGAGACAGAGTGGGGAGCAGAACAGGCAGATCGACGAAGTACACTGCTGAGGGGAGCAGCAGGCAGGTCAGGAGAGGTCTGCCGTGCCATGTGGTCATCTCCGGGGCAGGCGGGAATTGAACTCATGCTGAAGTGGCTTTTGCTTCTTAGTGCTGTGCTTTAACCGGCTGCGCCACCATGGAGGGCCAGTTTTCTAAGAATTTAATTAAAATGATTTGAAGGCACAACATGGACAGAGTCTGACAATTGCTTGGTTTCCATTTTGTGTTTTCTATTCAGAAGTCTTCTTATACTCCACATTGGAAATAGACAGCATCTCTTCAATGCTGGCTAAAAATACTAACTACTGCAGATCAATTAGAGGTAATTTTCTGCTGAGTCAGGATGAGATTAGCATTTTTGCCAGTATTTCCCTTTAGCACATTGGACAACTGATTCTCTACAGCCAGGCGGTGATAATTACTATGCTTCACTGGACCAAGGTCAATGTTTCACAGTGATGGTCTTGACTTCAGTGAAGAATTCGTAAGAGTCTTTGGCACCTTCTCTGCCCACTCCAGAACTCTTCATCCCCCCAAAAGGAAGATTCAGCTCTCTGATGAGCCAGCAGTTGGTCCAGACCAAACCTGCCTGCAACTTCTTAGCCACCCGGTGAACACGCCCCACATCGCTGGACCACACTGTGGCTGCCAGCCCGTATTTCACATTGTTGGCCCTTTTGATCACTTCCTCTTCACTGTCAAAGGGGACGACACACGTCACTGGACCAAATATCTCTTCCTTCATGCAGGGGGATTCATCCTTTATGTCTGTTATCACCGTGGGGAGCATAAAGTAGCCTGCCTGGTTCCTGGCAGGGAGACTCAACACATCCACTCCCTCACCACAAAGAACTTGGGCCCCTTCGGTTCGAGCTTTCTTGATGTAACTTCTGACCTGGGCAGGAAGAACCAGGATTAGTAGTAGCTGACCACTTGGCTTCATGAAAAGCAGCAGAAATTTCATTATTTTCAATACATCTAGGAAGATGAATAAGGCCTTAGCTCAAAAGTCTAAGGTTGGGTATGTTATCACAAGTTGCTAAGCCTGAGGGTAGAAGTAGCCAAACCTGAAGTCTAAGTTCCTGGCATTTACTCTGGGTAAATGCTTTTCACATATTCTTGCCTTATTCTCTCAAACCTCAATTAGTTATGTATTTTCATCCTCTACTTACTGGTGATATAACTGAGCCTCAGAAATGATAATATTGTATACAGCTAACAAAGAGTAAAACTAGAATTCCCATTCAGGTATATTCGGTAGTTTAATACACATAAGAATATATTTTCATTTAGTGAGGGTGGTTATGTCCATTGCAGAAAATGGGAAGTAAAGGATGTATAAGATTTAATTAAAGGACAGGATACCCTTCAATAGCTGAGCCTCCAGAACAAATATTTTTAATTTCTAGTCTCATTACTGACCATACTCTGAAAAAAACATCTAAGTAATACAGTGTAGCTAGCTGTAGTGGGAAATAAATTATGTAATAACCTAAGTCAGTGACTCAGAGATAATGACAGATGCTTAATAATGGTCATATAAATGATTCATTAACATCATGATAGATATATTTGTATATGGAAATGTTGATGAAGGCACAGTGATATATGATTTTACCCATGAAGGAAATTATTAGCACAGGGAACTAAAAGTAATCTCAAAAAGCCAAAAGTATAAAAAAAAAAATAATTAAGTAGGAAATTTTGAAAAGGTGTTTTGGATTCCTGGATATCACTAATCTATCTGGGTGTCCTTCCCCACTGTGGAGGTAGAACTCCAACCGAGACCTGTATTTATTGCAGAGCTACAGGTCTATTCATCATTTAAGAAGTACAAATTTATCATTAATTTTGTTTTAGTGTGTAGGATACTTAATAGGTGGTAATCAAAGACTGTTCAGAAAGAGGACTTTTGGTACACTTTCATGTTCTCCTCAAGGCCTGCCTCCCTAAACATTCACAATGACCTCAAAGCTTCCCCAGAAAAGTCTTTGCCTTGTTTGTGGGCAGAGACTAAAATAGGTCTGGACTTTTCTTTCCTCTACTCTCTTGCTCCTTTTGAAACACACCCACATTAATTAAAAGATGCCAAGGCAGTATCCTGTGTGAACGGGAAAAGTTGAGGCAAAATTTTCCAGAGGCTGCAGCTGGGTGAAGCACCAGGACATCTGTCAGGGATTCAAACAGTGCAGGGAGCCCTGGTTCGCCCCAAAGTGACTTGATTATCTCATAGATATTCTTGGGGTCATAAAATTTGAAAGGCAGTGTCAGTATTCAAGTTGTGAATTTATCAAAATATTTAAAGCAAGAGGGTCTCACACACACACACCTAACTGAATTTATTTATTTCCTACCAGCTCACACCCAGGATGACAGGGCGCCATCTGCCTTCAAGGCTTGGGAATTGAGATATTTGGTAACAACTAAAGAAACAAAGCAAATATGACTGGTAGCATGCTCTAAAATGCAATGAATCGCTAACATGTTCATTTGAGAGCAGAGAACAGTAATAATAGTTTGGGGCATAAAATCAGAGTAGAGAGTTTGGAGAAGTATAACTTGAAGCATACTATGCTTAAATCTCAGGATCTACACACAATACTGGGGGATTTTAATGCTCCCTGCCTCAGTTATCTCCCCTGAAAAATAGGATTAACAGTGCCACCTATTCATTGGGTTCTACTCAAGGGTTCTGGAAAGGAATAAATAAAATAATATGCCTATATGGCATCATTCCTGACACAGAGTCCTCTGAATGTCAGCTGCAGTTGGTTTTGATGCTGACAGTGATGATTTTGATGATGAAATGAGGTATGATGTGACCTGACACTCTCTAAGTCAGTTAGTCTAACAACAAAGAATAGGAAACTGTGGAAGCAGACCTTGTTGGGCCTTGAACCTGGCGCTCTTGAGTGATGAACCTGTGACCTTCCCTATGTTTCTTCCAGCTCCGTTATAAACACTGAAAAACTCAAGGAATTCTAGTTCCTCATGAACAAATCTTGCAGCCTTGGGAAGCTGACATACACCCAGATTCTCCAGATAGATACACGGGGAAGGATTCAGGACAATAAAAAGAAAAACAAAACACAAAAGCAACTCTTTCTTGAGGACAGAATGACCTATCGGTTACTGTGCATCCCCTGTCATCTCTGGGAGCCTGGGAAGCCCCCCAGTCACTAGGGGACATGCTGGCTCTCTAGTGTCCCTGTCAGTTTTTCAGTCCTCTGTCATTACAGTGCACTTTCTCATATTGTCATTGGGTTCCTCAGTCCCTGCGTTGTCATCTACGTAACAATCACATGCAAGTAGGATAGAACAAAGACCCCAGATTCTTCAAGGCCAATTTGATTTGGAGAAGACCAAGACAGGCTATAGCAGAGAGATGGATGGTAGTTAGGCCTTCCTCAGCACTTACCCACCAAAGCTCTCTAGTGAAAGCTGAGGACAAATGACCACCTACGCATCCTGGTTCCAGAAGTTTTGGCACATGAAACTGGAGAGTCACGGTCTGTAGAGACCATCCTTCCATTGCACAGACTCCCATCCACTCCCTCAATGAGCACAGACACCAGGGCTTCCTCACAGCAATAGGCTGAAAGCCTCCCACTCGAATCCATCTGGGGGCACTCAGAGGGTGAGGCCCTGACTCTTGATTATGGGCTTACAGCCTTTGAGTGGGGCAGTGAAGACTGAGGGGCTAGGAATAGCTGCCTCCACTGATGCTCTAAGGTATAGGAAGCGTAAGCAGAGCAGAGAGGAGCTCTGTGGAGGGCCTGAACATGAACGAAGATCTCAGCAGCTTTCTGTGTGGCAGGATAATGACAACACTATAGTCACTGTTTTTCTCTAACAAAATTTAAAGGGTCAGTCAATGATAAAAATCTAGTTTTAAATTGTTAACTGTAAATAATTGTTTTTAACAGTGTATATACTCTTTCCCCTTAGATACGGTAGAAACTTAGAGCCGGCTGACATAACTGAAAATTAATAAACTATGTTTTATTATAATAAAGAAAGTGACTAAAAACATTTTTTACAAAGGTCAAATAGAAAAGAAAAAGAAACAGGTGGCAAAATCTAAAGTTTAGTTAATAGTAATATGCTAACTTGGTTGCTTCGTGTGGACAACTAAATACTCCGCAGAAATGTTTCTGTAAATCCTGTCATTACAAAACAGTTTGTTTTTCATTGTATTTGACAAAGGTAAAAAAGTATGATGGTGAACATATGTGGGAAGCTTAAGAACTTTTGTTTAAAAGATAAAACTATTTTTATGACTTTAGTTTGAATGCAGTCAGAAAAAAATTGTTAACTGTAAGTTTCATTATTTCCAGAGTGATCCCTGGTGCCAAGTCCACTAAATTGAAATGATAGTAAGATAATATAGCCAACATGTTAAATAAATGCTTGTTTTTCATGCATAATTTGGTTTGGTAGAAGATGGAATTTCTGATCTGGGAAGTTGCCAGTATTTTAAGTCTTAAGAAAATCAGATATCATCTGTGGTTTAGATCCATTAGGGTTTTGGCTTTTGTCCACAGCTTCTAGGGTTCTGATACTAGAAGCAAAGGAGGCTGGATGGCCTTTACTATTCTCCTTCCTTTAAGAAGAGGGTGAAGTTTTTAAAATATGGTTTCTTAGGTGGGGTGATGTCGGTACTAAGTTGAGGGAACTTTAATACCATGAGGCAGTACAAGGAATGCAAATTAGTTGAAAAATTATTAAGGCCTCTAACTCAGGAATCTTTTCCCTAAGAGACCTGGTATGAAATACCCAGCACATAAGGTGTCTGTGTGCAAAGCTGGGGCTTAGCCAAGATGAGGGAACGTGGCGGACTAGTTTCTCCCTAATATCGGCATGCAGAGGAAGACTTGCACGCTTTATAAACTGATTCCTGAGAAAGCAAGAACTTCTGGAAAATGTGGATCTGTAGAAAATTTTCCAATTGCATATTTGCACTCATGGTGCAAAAATCTCAGATGGAAGTTTGAAAAGAGTCGGGTTGTATTTTTTGAAACTTAATTGGCGCTTTAAACATTGGACTTGCATATTACAAAAATCCAAGCACACATATTTAGTCAAAAGATTCTTTTCAGAATAGAGAACTTAATACTAGTGTGCTGGTGCAAAAAGCTCAACCAACCAATGAAAAGAGGAAGAGTTTAAGGAGAAACTTAAGTAAAACCTCAAAGTTGTTTTTTTAGGTGTATGAAAGTACTTTACTGTTAGGTGGTACATTACAATCTGTAGGTGTTGTATTCAAGAGTTCAAAGAAGATGGGCACCAATTTGAAGAGTTCTACTGTATACAGGAGCATGATAGAGTGTTAATTAAGTCATTCACCTACAAGTACTATGCACCTGCCATGTTTCAGGCCCTTTGCTAGTGTCTTGCTTCTAGCAGTGATGAAAATGGATCCCAGAGCTTATATTCTAGCCAAGGAAAGAGAGTTAATGAAGAAATGAACACTACACATTATATGGGAGATGAAATTAAGAGTCACAGAGAAAAAATGAAGCATCGAGGATATAGAAGAAGTTTGGGCAATACATTTATGGAGGGGAGCAGCAAAGCCCTCATTCTGAAGGTGATGCCTGAAGGAAGAGGCTCTCAAGTTTGAGTCAGGCTTCCTGCAGCAAGAGCAAAAGATAAGAGGAGCATGCCTGATCTTCCTGAAGAAGCAAGAGAGCCAGGACAGAGCAGTGGAATGAGTGAGGAGAAGCAACAGGAGATGGGACAGAGGTAGCATCTGGGCTTGACCTTGAACAAGATGGGGTCAAGCCGAACATGACAAGTTACATTACAGTGCGAGGCCCCTGGAGCAAGTTAAGTTGTTAACACCAGTAGGGACTCAAAATCCTCTGTGAAGGGTGGTGAGTGAGCTCAGTACAAGTTGTTTAAGTTGCCTCCTTTCAGATGTCATCAAACTACAGCTCCAGCTCCTCATTCCAGGCCATCCCAAGTGGGTGCTACAGGGTCACGAGTTGATCTTGATTCCTCTTTACAAGAAATCAGGTTTGGTACAGAGAGAGACCCCACTGCCCATGGAGTGCAGATGGGCCTGCATGGTCTGAGCTCACTGTGCAAAAAGGATGAGTGGAGTGTGGTAGAGGAAGCCAAGGCTGCAGTGGGAGTCAACTGCAACTGGAGCATCAAGGTTTCACGCACACAAACACCCTGTGCTGTGTGTATGTGTGTGTGTGCACACGCAGGGTGCTGCAAGCTGTTCAGCTGACTGTGAAAAGTCAGCGTTTTTTGCTTCATTCCCTCACTGGGTAACTTAAATAGATTTATGGTAGTATCCACAGAAGAACAATAATTGCAGGCCCTCCCTGGTGGCTCAACAGGGGAAAGCACGGCACTGCAAGCTAGCCGCAACCGCTGTAGTGAGTGTTCAATCCCCTATCCAGAGGTGATCCACATGGCACGGCAGACCTCTCCTGACCCGCCCGCTGCTCCCCTCAGCAGTGTACTTCCTCAATCTGCCTGTTCTGCTCCCTGCTCTGTCTCTGGTGAATCTTCTCACCTTCACCTTCTGTACCTCGGCTTGTACCCCAGTTCTGTATGAATAAATAAATAAATCTTAAAAGAAGAAGAAGAAGCAAAATAGTTGCTCTGCTGAGTTGACAGAGAAAGAGACCTTTGAGTCTCGAGGGTGAGGTGAATTGCAAAGCAGACCTCATGAACTATCACCTGAATAGGCAGAAGGTGTGCAGTAAGTGAGCATCTGGAAACTGCTGATGCTGTCTCACCAGTTATGTCGCGGGTGGGTGGCAGCCTGGGGCCTTAATGTCCAGGAGAGACAGAGGAGAGAAACGGTGGGGCTCTTGCACCTGGTGATTCCCCATCCATGACAGGGATGGGCTATGGTTCCCCAGGGGTGCTCTGTGGATGCTGCCAACGTGCCCACAACTTTATAGTGCCTGACTGGAGAAACACTCAGCTGTGCCGACTGTTCTCTCTTGAAAGAAATGACCTCAGGTGTCCAGCAAGCCCTTAGAACCGCCAGTCACTTCTGAGCCATTCTGCCTGCTGACAAGACTATTCTGAAACTTGTCTCCACACCTTCTCCCCACCCCCAGCCTGCTTCCACAGTGTGCCCTACTCCCACAGACAAGGAAGGGCTCAGGCCTGTCCCTCCTCAGCTGAATGATGGCAGCATATCCTCCTGGGTGGAGCCCAGTTAGCTCTCTAGAGCCAAGATTATAGGCCTGATTTGGGATGTCATGGCAGGTATTAAATTAAAATGACCCTAACGATGGAAGCTCTGTAAATCACAGACCACCAATGGCTTCTCTCAGGTAGGCTCTCTCTGGTCACCCGCTGATTCATCACTCGGATGGTTTGTGCGGGCACTCCCAAAAGCCAACCTGGTGCAAGCCAGAGGCAAAAGCTTGCCCGCAGGGACATTTCTCTGTGGGGGTTCCTGCTACCCTTAGTCCAGAGAAGCTTGTCCCTGACCTAATGTCACGAGATGTGCGTTCCTCACTCACTGGCGGCATTTCCAGCTGACTTCTCAAGTTTCACGTAGCTGCTACACTAAAGTGGGCTAATTGTACACTCATATTTAATATGTTTAGACTCTGCAACCACGGATAATTTCCCATAGGGCATCACTTTTTCAAAAATAGGGTAGTAATTAGCAAAATATCAAAGCACGGCTGTGCTTTCTGCTTCGCACGGAGATTCTCTCCAAATAATTCTTCCTGCTATTTACACGACAGGGATTTTACTTACTTTCTCCAAATGAGCTTTACTTATCAGAGCTCCCATGCTGGCCGATGGATCAGAGGGAATGCCCACTTTCCACATTCTGGAAGCTTCTACAAACCTCTTTAAAAATTCACTATAGATGCTCTTCTGGACAAAGATCCTGCTGGTACAGAGGCAGATTTCACCCTGCAAGAATGACACACAAGGACAGTGACAAGACTAGAGGACATGGCCCCCAGGACAGACTACCCGCCCTCTGCACCCTGCCATGAGTGGGGCGCTGGTCTCGGCAATGGGGGACAGTGGTAAACAGAGCCCCCATCTTATAGAACACCAGGCTTAGGGAAAACAATAATACAAGAAAGCAGATTCAGTCAAAGCAACAAAAGAAAATTAAGCAGAAAGGGATGGAACAGGGAGCAGTGCCAAATAGACTCAGAAGGCGCTTGTCATGGGGATGTTGGAACTGGTGCTTGATGTGAAGGAGTTGGACTGGCAAGCAGGAGGAGGCGGGGGGGGGGGCCTAGTGTGGGAGTGGAGGCTGGGATGGCCTTGGGGGTTCTGGGGTGGGAGGAGATGATGGCAGGCTCCCAAGGGACCTGCCTTTTATTCTCAGCACCATGAATGGGACCGGGGGTATTAAGCAGCAAGGTGATGTGAGGAGATTGGCAGCCCTGTGGAGAATGACCAGGGGAGAGTTGAGAGTCTTCCAGAAATCCAAGGGTGGTACTACCAGCATAGACAGGGAGGGAGGTCAAGAGTTCTGCTCACAACTGCAGCACCTAAAGGTGCTTAACAGACACCCAGAGAAACTGAGCATTCAGGGGTGTGGTCCTACCAGGTTCCTTGGGGAAACATGATCCTTACTATCACTTGATAGTAAGCACATAATAGTTACAAATCACATTGCAGACAAGTCAAAGCGTTGAATGTGTAGGATAAATACATGTATGCAGAAATGACTCATATTATCACATTTATATTTAATCTCCTAATTATTAATAACAAGATAATGCTTCTAATGATCACGTTATTTCTAGAAAGGTACATGTTCCAAATCCAGCAGTAAATGTTTAAAAACAACAAATCTTCCTGCCCCCTGGGATTGCCACTAGAACCATTCACACATGTGGCTTGGGAGACCCCAAACACACATGGTGCCCTGCCGAGGCCCTGTGGAGGGAGGTGTGGAAGAGGAGGTTTTACCAGGTTTCCTGATTACTCCAGAAACACTTAAGTAACTCTAGAATCTGCAGTTGGATGGGTTTACAGGAGATGAGGAAAGGCCACACTCATTTATGGAGCAAACATAGCGTGCAGACACAGGGCAAGATGTTTTCCCCCTAATAATTTTGTCACAGATGAGCTGCATTAAACTAACCACACTTGAACCCTCCCTGGTGGTGCATGGGTAAATGCAGCATTAAGAAGCTAAAGCCACTTCAGCATGAGTTCGATCCCCTGCCCTAGAGGTGACCCACATGGCACGGCAGATCTCTCTTGGCCCACCCACTGCTCCCCTCAGCAGCGTACTTCATCAGTTGGCCTGTTCTGCTCCTTACTCTGTCTGGTGAATCCTCTCACTACCGCTGCACCTCTGGCCTGTACCCCAGTTCTGTATGCACAAATAAATCTTTAAAAAATAAAAGAGATATATACAAGCCCAAGGCCACACAGCACAGGAAGGTTCAACCTCTGTGTGAGAGATGCGGAAGGTCACATTCATTTCTTCTATGTGACTCAGTGCCTCTAAGTGTGGGTGTACTCAGGGCTGAGGGAGAGAGAGGTGCTTTCAAAAACCTGTTCCGTTCAACTGAGGAGGTAGTCTGCAGGGTAAGCACAACACTCAGCTAAGTTAAAGGCAATCAGCTACTTTACTGATTTTACTGAAAGTCACTCTGCTGTCATGATTTATAATGCCACTCATTAGACACATGTCTTTTTTGCCACTGGCATTTTAAAACACCCCTGAGATGAAGACTTAGGGTGTGCTCAAATCCTTGCACACTTCTGACTGAGGAGAAGCCATTGGTCTATCCTGTCTCGGGTTTCATGTGTTTTCATACAGACAGTTCGGCTCACTTCCTCATCCCTCAGGCACTCAGTCCTCAGTTTGATGTCTTTGGTTGACACTGCCATCAAATCACTTTCCTTAATTGCTCACTTTCATATTTATTTGTAATGACTAAATTTATTGTATCATAAAATAGCACTAAGATCACTCACCCAGAAGCTCTATGTATCCCTAAGCCACTTTCCCCAGGAGTTACAGTTACAAAAATAATGACAATTATAACCACGAAAATAGTCATTCTAATATTTTCTTTTTATGCTCACCTTGTTGGAAGGCATTATTGCTTCCAAGATTTTACATGTGCATAAGTTCATTCCTCTCCTCTTTCCTTCATGTGTGTTTTTTTTAATATAATAGTTTATTTTTACATCATTTTGTACTTTTTTTTTCCATCTCAATTGTAATCCCCATGGGTTTCCCATCACCGAGTCACCCATGTGCCATCTCCATAATCCCGTGCACTTTCCCCCCCCCCACCCCCCCATTTTTGATCCCATTCCCCACTCCACCCCCACAGAATGTCTCTGGTATATGGCTGTTCATTATTCTTATTATTTTCTTGCCTGGCCCATTATACTTCTGCTATGAGCGAAACCATCTGGTATTTTTCTTTTTCTTTCTAGCTTATCTCACTAAGATCTTTTCCAGCTCCATCCAAGTTGCTGCAAAAGACATGTGTTTCTTTTTTTTGATCTCTGGGTAATATTCCATTGTATATATATGTACCACATCTTTTTAATCCAGTCATCTACTTTTGGGCATTTGGGCTGTTTCCAGGTCTTTCCAATTGTAAATAAAGCAGCAATAAACATGGGGGTTCAGGTATCTTTTTGAATCAGTGTTTTTGTGTCTTTTGGGTAGATACCTAGGAGTGGGATTGCTGGGTCGTAGGGAAGCTCCTCCTGAGGTAATGACGATTTACAGCACTGTGTAGCTTTCAGACATTGTTCTCACCTCAGTAATTGTGTACATGACCCCACCCCCACCACCAAGCATAATGTCACCCTCCACCAACAACTCATCAGCCCCTTAACCTCTTCCAGTCCTCCCTCCCAGCTCTAAAACCACCATTCTGTTGCTAGAGTCCAAGGTTTATTTCTGTTTTCTTTATTTGTTTGTCTTGTTTCTTTATATTATATTCCACCATATTATGCAACATTTGTCTTTATCCATCTGGCTTTTTCACTTAGCACAATCCATCTATGTTGTCACAAATGGCAAGATTTCATCTTTCTTATAGCTTTCATCTTTTTATACTATTCTTCTAACCGTTTAATATACGTCTTTTTTAAATTAATTTATTTATTCATACAGAACTGGGGTACAGGCCAGAGATGCAGGGGTGGTGAGAAGATTCACCAGGGACAAAGTAGGGAGCAGAACAGGCAGACAGACAAAGCACGCTGCTGAGGGGAGCAGGGGGAGAGACAGTAGAGATCTGCTGTGCCATGTGGGTCACCCCCGGGACCGGAGATCAAACTCATACTGAGGTGGCTGCAGCAAGCTTACAGTGCTGCATCCTAACCCATGACACCACCAGGGAAGGCTCTTAGTATAGGTTTTCTTCTTCTGCTAAAGAGTTTTAAAACATAGCCTTGGAATGAACTAGGCATTATTTAGGATGCCTGCTCTGTGCTGGGCACTGTGCCTGCCTTGACAATAAAATGTTGTATGAAAGCAACACTTTAGAAGTTCTTCAGCCTCTTCAGAAGCTGATTCTGGCATAAATGTTGATTTTTCAGATTTATTTATTTATGCATATAAGAACTGGGTATGTATAGGCCAGAGGTGCAGTGAATGAGAGAATACACCAGAGACAGTGGGGAGCAGAACAGGTGAATCTACTGAAATGCACTGCTGAGGGGAGCAGTAGGCAAGACAGGAGAGGTCTGCTGTGCCATGTGGGTCAGCTCCCTACCAAGGGATTGAATTTGTGTTACAGAGGCTATGAATAAATAGCTTCACAATGCTGAGACTTAACCTATTGTGCCACCAGGGAGACCCGACTCTGGTCTATTTGATCAGTTGCTTAGCCCTTTGAAATGCTATGGTCTTATATAAAAATCTGATAAAAATTATGGACTCCAGAGAAACATCAGTTACACAATTTTAGGAGATGCAAAGTTGTCTGGAAACTCACCCATGATTCCAAGGTGAGACACATTTACCAAACTAGTGTTCATTCCTAAGAGTATGAATGCATCTGTTATGCTTCTGAGGGAAAATAGGGTTTACTGGAAGCAGAACATTTAGACAGAAAGAAGAAACTGGAGATAACGGTATGATGAAGGGATAGAGAAGCTCAGAGCAGCATTAATCCATCTTTCTGCCCCTGGCTGCTGCCTGGAAACTGTTGTGTAACTCAAAAGGAACCTGCTGAACAAATCTGTCACTGCTGACTGAACGTAAGCCAGGGACGAACACAGACCATCCTCCCTCAGTGACACAACACCAGGGTGACCTGCTCACCCCCAGGTTTGCACTTTGATGGAACAGATCCAGTTAGAGACATAGCAGAAGCAAATAAACCCAGAGGACAGACCTGGTTGGCAAAACTGGACCTCACGGTGTTCGAAATACATTCCTCCAGCTTGGCATCTTCAAAGATGATGGCCGGGTTCTTGCCCCCCAGCTCCAGGGAGAGCTTCTTGCAGTAGGGAGCACTCAGCTGCGTGATCCGCTCGGCGGTGGGCTGGCTCCCAGTGAAGGAGATGAGGGGGACCTCTGGGTGGGACACCAGGGCCTCCCCTACACCTGGCCCCGTTCCAAACACAATATTTACCACTCCTGGAGGAACACCTGAATGGAAAACAATATCAGCTGTGGTAATTCTCCTCAGTGTACCAAAGACTTCAGGTTAGACGGAGATGCTCCTTGAAAGGCCAGCAGCGTGAATGGGATGGGAGGGAGCTTTTATGGTTGCCAGTGGTTTAACAGTAAAGCAAAGACTGCAGCTTCAAGTCTGCAATAGTACAACCTATGGAAGTTCTCTGTGGTGCGTCCTAGACCAAGGTGGGTAGAACAGTCTAGATAATTCATTCCACAGTACTGACTAAGCTTCAAGGCGGAGCATGCAGAGCCATTCTCAAGGAAGTCAAGTCTCTTCCAGGAGGGGGTCTTGCTCCCTGTTGACACCCAGAGTCACCAGTCAGGGGGGAATGAGAAGAAGGGATAAATGCTGCAGGGGAGAAGCACCACACAGATGGATCAGCACAAGTAAATGCTCGTGTTTCAGGAGACCAGCCTCCCGCTCGCCACAGTATCAGCTCTTGGCGGTTCTTTGAACACCATCAATGACCAGTGTGGCCTCAGTACCATTGTGTGGTTTGAGCCAAACAATAGTAAAATGGTTTTAGAGATCTCTGACTTACACGATTCTGTAATAAAAGAGGAAATTAGCTTAATTGACAAGAATTTGGTAAAACTCAAATGAGTGGCCTCCAAACCAAAGCATGAAGCCCCTCCCGCGTAAATGACAACAGGAAAACTTTCAAACCTCAAGTTGACCAAACAAAAGTGAACGGAGAGGGCCAGAAAACCAAAACACAGCGGCCCTCCAGGAGGGAGGGCAAACACAGTGACCCGAAGAAAATAAATAGAATGTTCTTATTCTAGGACTCTAGACTTCTAAAAAGGGGTACACGTTAAAGGAAGGTCATCTGGATGGCTCACGGCTACTACTGAAAGAAAAGCCAGTCCGTCAATACGCAGCCTATGGAAGACCCTCTGGAGCAGGCTGGGCTGTGATGGGACCTGATGCCTGTGGAGGCGGGTCCGGTTGCACACCGGCTCTGTGCTGCCAGCCAGGCCAGGCAGGTGCGAAGTGCTGGTGCAGGGGAAGAGGGTGTGTCAACAGGGTTTGTCAGAAAGCACTGAGGAAGACAGAAGCCCAGGGAGACACTGGAGCCAATTTTACTGAGGAGCAGGCTCTAACTATAACAACTTTTCAAACATCAGAGACCCTAACGTGGCTGAAGTCTACGAACCTTACAACCCCAAAGCTAATCCTGTTTCCCTGAAGCCCAAAGAGTGAGTTACCTGCTTTTCCCAGGAGCTGGCACATCATCCACGCGGTCACCGACGTCAGCTCGCTGGGCTTGGCTATCACGGTATTGCCCGCAGCAATCGCCGGCGCGATCTTCCAGGTCAGCAAGTACAGAGGCAGGTTCCAGGGACTGATCAGACCAGCTAGGGGGAACAGAAGCATCGCCAACAGTGACATTTCCCTCGAAGCACAAGCACCAGATGGGGTTATTAAAACAGAACTCGTTCGTGTTACATGAAACTAAAGCAGCAATGAATGAACAGACCTTAATCACCAAATATCCCGGCTCTAATTTAAGTGTCCGACTCTTCCTAAAATAGTTGATCTACAGAAATATAAATAATTAAACCATGTTGTCAGATTTTCAGATAAGAATATTGAAGAACACGGTTATGTAACTCGACCCACACTTATCCATACTCCCCAAACCCTAAACTATGGCTATTGGCAGCTCACTTCAGGGAAATGATTCTAAAGTAGATTGTCAGCAACTGTACCTTTTAAAATTATGATCAATACAATTTATTCTGTTCTTGATGACTGACAATTTAATTATAAACAATAGCAATATAAATTCCATGGTTAAAGCTGTCACTTGTCACTAACTTCCAGAATGTGATGACTTTTGAAATTAATAGCAGGATCTACACTTTTTGAGATCTTTTTCTTCTTATTAAACTGACCAGCTACTATTTCTTTGAGGTTTCTCCCTCTCTGGTTCTAATCTGTGTGAATTGAAGCAGAAAAATCAGCTTATAACATAACAGGAGATGGGTTTAGGTCTTTCCCATGAGAACCCTCCTATTAGCAGAGCTCATGAACTTTGGTGCACAGACTGCCGGATACATTTCAACTAACCATTCCCTCTAGGTTTTCACCTGCATCCTAAGGGGGAAGGTTTGTGAGAAAAGGAAAATCACCAGCACCTAGGGGGTACCCCCATCTGTGATAAAGTCCAGGCTTCCAACCTTAAGACATGCAAAATTAAAGTCACCTTATGCATAAGTAAATGGATTCACCTTGTTCATTCATATTCTACCCTTGAGTGTGTGCTATAAAAGTAAATGTATATTTTATATTATTAAATTCCCCTACTGGAAAATCTTTCTTGAAGGCATAGCAGAATATATATATATATATTTTTTAATGTTTGAAGATAGGTTCTTTTTTATTATTATTTATATATTTTTTACATTCTTCTTCCTTTGTACTTTTATGGCATAGTATTATTAGCATACTTTCAGGAGAAGGTGAGTTTTTCATTCTTTGAAAACATTCTTTCCAGTGGGTTCAAACAATCAGAGTGGTAAGATATCTAATTTTCTTTCCTTTTAACTTAGATATTCTTTTATCCTGTCCTAAAATGTGACTAATCAAATACCGAGTTGGCGTTTTTCTCAGGGGAAACAGTGACATCTAGTGGACCCTTTCAGTTACTACAGACATTTATGTTCATTCCAAAGCGCAGAAAGCAGCAATGAATGAACAGACCTTATTCACCAAATATCCCAGCTCTAATTTAAGTGTCCTACTCTTACTAAAATAGTTGATCTACAGAAATATAAATAATTAAACCATGTTGTCAGATTTTCAGATAAGAATATTGAAGAACACGGTTATGTAACTCGACCCATCCTTATCCATGCTCAGAGTCACACGTGGTGAAAATAGACATTTTTTAATTTATAAGGAAAAAACTTCTGGCATGTGGATATATGCACAGCATCGTTCTTTTCCCTGTGACTTCATAAAACAGTGTTCCAGGAAGGAGTCAGGAATCTGATATAAAGAGATTTTTGAAGGCAATTGATTTTCTGCTAAAGTAGAACTCAGCTCCTTCCTTTCCTTCGTCTGTTGTGGCCGGGCTCTCACTGACCAGACCTACCGATTCCCACAGGCATGCGCACGGTGTAGTGCATGCAGCCCATGTGGTCCATCTGGGTGCACTCGGACGTGTGGTGCAGGATCGAAGAGGCAAAGAACCGGAAGTTGTGCACTGAGCGGGGAATGTCCACCGTTTTTGCCATTGTTATGGTTTTACCTGGAAAAAGCCACACAGAGAGCGCATCAGCGTACCTCACCAGAGACAGCGGACACCCTGGCACACGTGTGGACCCCCAAGTCACACTGACGTAACTCTGGTAGCTCAGAAGAGATTACTTCCAGCCTGGGACTGACATTCCTTGACGACACAGAGCCTGGATCATGTGTAATTTAGCTATGAAATAATTCGATAGGAGGTTAGAACATGCATGGGGGAGGGGCCAACTTGAGTCAAATCATCTTGACTTTGCAGACTGAGTAATTCATAGCTGTCGTCATGACTTTGCTAGATGGGACCTCTTCATGCATATCAGCTCTTTAATTCAAAGTCACGGAGTTTTGTACATGCCACAGGGGTTAAAATAATGGTTGCCAAGATCATTGTTGTCTATATCACAAAAACCAGTCTGATAAAAATGTGATGTGTATCAAATGTCTCCAAGTGATGGCATCGTGCGGACGGGGTGGAGACCTGCTGGGGCAGGAAGCTGAGCTCTGCCATGTCCTAGGCAGTCTAGCTCCAGGTCTCCACAGAGAGACAAATGTTGCTCAGTTATCTTTACCCAGGAGTGCTAACAGGAAAGTTTCTTTGGCACCTTTGAGTCAGAAGGCCTCCTTTCTGTTGGTTTATTATCCTGCTCACAATTTTAAGAGATCTTGGCCTTTTCCTTATTGATATTTATTTATAGACATTTACTACATTACCCTGATGGCTAGGAAGAAGTTAAAAAATTGGGAAAGTGAGTTGGGAGTGGAATAGTGACTGATAACATGGAAAAACTCTCTAAATAACTTCACCGTGCAACTGCCCTTCAAATTGATGAAGAATAAGGATAGAAAACACTGGAAAGGAGGCACCACAGAATCAGAAACCTGGCTCTCAAAGCCAAGAGCAGGAGGTGGGGTGAAGGGGTTAACCTGGCCTTTAACCCAGCTATAAGAACTAAGATCCTAGATGCCAATGTCTAGCTCACAAAGCACAAGACACAGGCAGTTGTCAGGAGCGCAGTCCTGAAGGTGAAGATATGGAGATTGAGGGCCATCGTAGAAATCTGGCCCCTTCCAAATTCTTTGTAGTCTTGGCCCTCCCTCACGGTACCACAGGTCAAAAAGCAGCACTATGAAGCTGTTGCAGCCACTGCAGCACAAGTTCAATCCCCGGCCAGGGAGGTGACCCACATCGCTCAGCAGTGCCGCCCCCACATCCCCCACACTACTCCCCTCAGCAGTCAATCTGCCTGTTCTGCTCCCCACTCTGTCTCTGGTGGATCCTTTCACATATCCTTCCCCACCCACACCTCTGGCCTATACCCCAGTTTTGTATGCATAAATAGAAAAATCTGAAAAAAAAAATGTACAGTCTTTTAATGTCAACAACTAAAAAAAAACACTCCATGGGGTGAGCCCCTCCCAAAGAGAGGGCTCTATCAGCAGTGTCTGCACTGGACCCGGGCAGCAGTCCTGCCCACCTGTGTCTATGCAGGTGCTTCTTTCCACCCCCTCTCTGTCTGTACCTGTTTGGGCAGACTTTTCCCTCTGTCTGCAAGGCAGCAGCTTCCAGCCTGCCCATGACGGGTAATATCTGGGTCTTTTCTCCCTGCTCAGCAGAAGCGGCTCTCCTGAAGGCCACCTGCAACTTTTCAGGCCTCTCTCTCAGCAAACTTGTCTCTTTCAGGGCAGCTTTTCTGCTCTTTGGGTCTACGCAAGTGTCTTTTATTCTCTCCCTTTTATAATAAATGTGCATTTTTGACTATAATTAATGTCTCTGTGTGGTGGAGAAAACCCCCTTGGAACACACCAGTGCGGGTGAAAGGGCAGCTCTAGTGAAAAGGTAACAGAGGGGTCCCCAGGAAAAGGGGAGGTTCCAGGTTTCCTGCCCAAAGGAGGGTAGAGCTGAGCTGGGAATGGAAGCTGGAGAGGAGACGAGGAGGAAGGAAGCAGGATGGAGAGCAGGGAGACCTGAGGGAGGCATATGGAGCAGGGAGACCTGTGAAGAAGCAGCTCTGCCTTTTGGTCGTGGACTGGGTGACACAGACGTGGGTGAGATACCCCTATTGAGGTTAACAAGGGCACTTTTTATCTTGATTTTGATTTTGTTCTTTTTCTTCCAGACTTTTCAGGCTCGTTCTGACCCTTTTTCTATTGGTCCCTGCTGGAGGGTATTCTAAATTTGTGGTGGGCTTTCTGGCCTTTCTCTAGGCCAATCCCTTTGGGGTGGATTTTATGCATGAAGGGAGGGGATGGTTAACTTTGGGTGTTTGACTTAGAAACTGTATTCTTTGCCTTTTCTGTATTACACGCTAACTGTATTAAAATTCCTTCCCATTAAAGGTCTTATATAGTTTGTCTCAACGTGACGGATGGCAGAACATATTTAGAGCGGGCAGGTTTGGGGTTCTAAAGTGCCCCTCTCTCCCTGTCCTGTAACAAAACCTTTCCCAGAGTGAACCCAAGGATTCCACTCTCTGAACCCAACAACTCCAAAAACAATATCAAAGTCATCTCTGCATCGAAATTCTCTGCTTCGAATTGGTGGAAGTTTGCACAATCCACCCCAGCTCTCCCCTGCCCTTACATACAGCTTGGCAGTTCTGTTCCACAAACCCGCAGAATGTGCGTCCCTGCCCTCTTAACCTTGGGTGGCAGATGGAGTGTCAACTAGGCTTGCCAGGACTCAGTATCTATCTGCTGGCTCTGTTTTGGGCCACTACCTCTGCCTTTGGTCACCTATCACCCTGGGAGACGATAGGTCGCCAGCACCTGAGTAATGTTTTATCTTCTTCGGGAAGCATTTAGTAAAACAGTGCACCCACAGTGGCTCAAAGAGAGAAAGAGCCAGAAGACTGAAAAGCAGGACAGAGGTGGTTCTCCTGAGGGATGTTGCCTCTTACCTTGGTCTTTGGACTCTGCCTTGGCAAACTCCTCTAGGGATTGTTCTAGCAAATCTGCCAGCCGCTGCAGTACCTGCGAGCGCTCCTGGGGGCTCCGTGAGGACCAGGCAGGAAAGGCTGCTGTGGCTGCTTTCACAGCAGCTTCCACCTGTGAGGAGCAAGGAGGGGAAGGTCGCCTCAAGACGTGCTCTGGGCCAACGAGTTAAAGCCAAGCACTAAGAACCTATGGCAGCCACTATGGCACAAGCTCGATCCCTAGGCAGGGAGCTGACCCACATGGCATGGCAGACCTCTCCTGACCCACCCCCTGCTCCCACTGCTCCCCTCAGCAGTGTATTTCAGTAGATTTGCCTGTTCTGTTCCCCATCCTATCTCTGATGAACCCTCTCACCCACCCCCCACACCTCTGGCCTACACCCCAGTTCTGTATGAATAAATAAATAAGTCTTTAAAAAAAAAAAAAGACACATTCCAAAGAGTTTTCATGAATCCAGAAACCACACACCTCATTTTTTTCTCCCTTATTTCAAATGCTCATCATTTCTCACAAAGAGGTGTTTTCATCACTGGCAAAGGAGAGCACCATATAAACAAAGGAAAAGTGGCCCATTTCACCAAGGTTCCCAGAATGTGGGAATCAGATTATCAGATGGAAGCTAGCAAGATTTAACAGACATATGATTTCACTCATTTCAAAATCAGGAATTTTTTATAATAATGAGGAAACTTAGTCTAGATCTGTGGAATCTTTAAAGCTCTTGATCCAGTTCTAAATTTTGTTTGTTCCTCCCCAGAACCCATTCCCACATGGAATGGCTAAACCATACCATCATTCATGGACTTATATTTATATGAGGGACTTGTGCTCAATAGTTTGTACAAATCATTTCATTTCAACTGCATTTAAAATTCTGGCATGTGACTGTTTTGACATCTGTTGTACAAGTAAGGACACTGAAGTACAGAAAGCTCAAGTAACTTGCCAGGTGCCACATAGCTAATGAGTAGCAGAATCAGCATTGAGCAATCTTTGAGGCTCCGAAGACCACAGTCCATGTCACCATGATGTAATCACAGTACCTGTCCTCTGCCTGCTTGTACCCACAGATGAGGTCTCTGTTGGAGAGGAAGGCATCTAGGTTGGACAGACATCCTAGGGACAAGGCTTGGAGCTAAATCTAAAGACAATAACATCTGGGATGTATGCACAAGAACAATTCATGCAGGCAAAATGAATGTTGAGGTCGTCTGCTGTGGTGAAAGGATGTCTTTTCCAGAGTTACTCTGCTCTTTTACATGCATGGAGACTATTTCTAATCACTTCCAGCCCTCTGCCACCACTGACCATGCCCAGCCCAGCTACTCTTTTTCACTGGCCTCAGTCAAGTCTGAACATCATTCCTGATTCATGTGATCTGACAGTTCAGCCACCTTCTGCCCCAAATCTAGTCCACACCTTTTCTTGCTTTCTTCATGCAAATAAAACCACTTTCAGTAGAGCTGAAGTCAGGCTTAAAATGAGTCTCATCTTATTTATAAGTTTCTGGATAGTGTTTTCATCTCAAAAACAGAATCTCTTATCTGGATCCACAGACAAGACAAAGGAGTGATTTCCAGCAGCTACAGGAACCCACCTACCCACATATTAGAATCAAAATCTTGATAAGCAGGAAACTCAAGTCCCATCATATTTTCTAAGCTGTCTTATGGGACACATATGTGTCCAGGTAATATATAAAAAAAATACTGATCTACTAACTACTATGATAATATTAGAAAACATTTACTGCATGCCACTTGTCCTTTGAGGGCTCAGAAGAACACACCAGAATAGGTATCATTATTATCCCCATTTTATAGATCATGAGACTGAGGCACAAAGAGGTGTGACTTGAAGTCAAGATACTGAGCAGGCTTTGAGACAGATGGTCTTTGAGGTCAGTCTGTCTCCAGGCTGTGTTTGTGACTGCAACAAGTTAATGTACTTACATCTGAAAGAAGGAGAGAGAAAGAAGGGGGAAGTAAAGGGGATTGAGCAGGAAAATGCATCATTGTAGGTATCAGAGATGAGGGTGGTAAAACGAAGATAATGACAGATTCAAATGTGGAGGTTACGACTCATGTTTGGGACAATTTGTGCTAAAGAGCTTGGTGAATGCCAAGTCAGAGCAGAATCTACAGAAATGGGAGCCACTGTTAGCAGGAGCAGTATTGTGAGCAGGCTTTTGGGTAACCGGTCGTGTAATTTATATGGTGACCACACTTCTCAAGTCAGGAAAAACCTGGGAACTAGAGTATCAGATGGGATGTTATAAGTTGGAATCCTGGGAAATCCAAAATATCTATTATTCTACTAACCATTACATCCGTACCTCATTCTATTTTCCTGAAAAGGCATGAGCCATTAGCTGCAGAAAATATTTCAACTGAATTTGGGAGATCTGTCATCTTTAGCTTCACTTTGAAAAACACACTAAGACAAGGAGAGTTAGAGAACAGAGTGTCCAATTTTCTACATCTCTCTTCAGTCATTTGAAACAAACAAAATTGTGAGTCACAGTTTAACTAGCAAATTAGGCATTATTTGAAACTTTAACCCACAAGTCTAAAGGTTAATGCAAACCAGATTTAGAATGCTATCAACATTAGAAAACGTTTAGTTCTCTAAAACAAATGTGTATCCCTATTTATCTATGAAGATTATAGATATACACTTCTCAGTTATCACCCCATTTATATTTCCAATAAGTGATAACTACTCAAGTATTTTATAAAATACTCCAACTAAAGTTACTTTGAGGTCAGAAAAAAAATGTACTGTGAGTGACATAAAGCACTAAAGAAAATCTCTTTTTAAAAAAATTGTGTTTGTTTTAGAAATCTAGGAGTATGATGATAAATTTAGGTAATACTTGTTAGAAAAAAAGGGAGCTTCCCCTGAATTACAATACAGATAATTCTCACAAGTAATACTTTTGAGTAGTCACTTCCTTAAAAATATCTGAGAAAAGGTGCTGCTGGCTGTTAGGTGACCCACATTAAAGACAGGTTCTGTGTATGGTAATCTGAGATGTGTTCTAAGTGTCCTGTATGTTGAGCAACAAATTAAACTCTTCAAGACCAACATCATCCTTCTGCCAGTGTTTAACCATTCTGTACTTTTCCCACTGGTATCTAGAAAGTTAAGTTTCCCATTATTTACCAACATATTAAGTCGTCATCAGTCTTTGTTAAGTGAACATACTTACCTCATCTTTTCCACTATTTGGTACTCGGCAGTATACTTCTCCTGTCGATGGATCATAAGAATCAATATAAGAGTTACAAGGCAGAAATTTTCCACCTATGAAGTTGTTCAGCACCAGAAGCTCCTTCGTCCCAGCCATGGTGAAAGAGAGTCCCCTTGACTCTCACTCCCTTGGGTTATGCTCACCACTTTCCCACAATCCTGCCTAACGCCCACCTCTTTTCCAGCCCAGTGTCCTCATTTGCTAATCCATGAAGGTGGGAGGGACCTAGCAGGGCATTCCAGCCTCCTGCCCTGAAGGAAGTGACCTCCAGCATTTTATAGGCCTTCATTTCATTAAGAGAACTGCATGGTGCAGGGTCTGACTACCATCCTCACCTGAGTTTGAAAGGCACCTTTGGGTTTATAGAATGAAGTGTTCTTTGTTCCAATGCTGAGGAAGTGCCAGGCCTCAAAGAAGTTCTTGTCGGAATGTTCTCATTGGTTCTATACAGCAATCCTATATAAAGAATGTGTCATGGCTTCCTCTCAGTGTTGGAAGACACTGAGTCTCAGAGACTAGAAGACTCACCCTAGGCCTGTAGTAAGGTGGAACCTTCTTCCTTTTGTCTCTAAGACATCATATACCTTTTCCAAAACAGTTCACTGCCCTCAGTTGCAGGTGACAGCAGAGACGGCCCACTCTGCAGTTACCTTGGTTGTCTTCTCTGAATTATCTCTTCATCCAGTCCTGTAATGAGGAGACAGCAGTAGCTCAAATCTTCCACGTCAGATTTCGAATGTTCTTCAGAGATGAATGTACAAGTCCCCCACAGGTATGATATGTAACAAACAAGCTCATCACCATTCCATGTGTCAGAATGTTGCCAGATTGGATAGAGAAATGAACAACTCCAGAGAAGTTTCCAGAGAAAACATAAGTAAAGGATATTAAAAAGACAGGCATATTGCAAAGGGGGTATTAATAGCTAATAGATGTGCTAAAGCATGCTCCCCTCATTGTTAATGGAGGAAACTGAAATATAGAGAGGTACTGATCAGACTGGAAAGGAACTTTTTAGAGTACAGATCCACAGATAACACACCTCTTCTGATGTATGTTACCAGACCACACTAAAGCAGCAACAACCCTCCACCTTAGGTCATTGCACTTCCTCCCCTCTTTGCTCTCTGCCTACCATCCTCCCCCTTGTGGAGCCTCAATTCTATAGTCAGATTTTTAGTTTTTTTTTTTTTTTTAATGTATTTATGCATATAAGAACTGAGGTACAGGCCAAAGTGAGGAGGGTGAGAGTATTCACCAGAGGCAGAAAGGGGAACAGAATAGGTGCAATGACTGAAATATACTGCTGAGGGGAGCAGCAGGCGGGACAAAAGAGGTCTGCTGCACCCTGTGGGTCACCTCCCTGGCTGGGGTTTGAACTCATGCTGCAGCAGCTGCAGACAGCTTCGCAAAGCTGGGCTTTAGCCTTTGAGCCACAGGGAGGACCCTCGAAGGCTTGTTTTGATTTCATTTCATCAGTTTCTTTTCTTTGTTTTCCTATTCCATATGAGCGAAATCATTAAGTATTTGTCCTTCTGACTTATTTCACTTAGCGTAACACTCTCCAGTCCCATCCATGTTGTGACAAATGGGAAGAGCTCAACTTTGTCCCTAGCTGAGTAGTATTGCATTGTGTATATGTACAACTCATCTGTCATCAGGCACCTGGGTTGGTTTTTGTATACAGCTTGGTTATTGTAAATAGTGCTCCCATGAACTATAGGAATGCATATATCCCTTTAAGTTAGTGCTGCTGCCTTCTTTGGGGAGATACCTAGGAGTGGGTTTCCTGAATCATATGATAACTAGTCTAGGCCAGGTTATATTTCCACCAATAGGGTAGGAATGTTTCTTTTCTCCCCTCCTGCCCTCCAAATATCACTACCACTGTTTCTTGTTTATTTGATGTGGGCCATTCAGATCACATGATAATAAAAATACACCTCTCTGGACAAACAGATACAGTAGTATATACTGTCAGGAGTTATTTAGGAAAACAAAAACCATGGTGGGTACTTCAAAATGCAGTACAGGTAGATGGTTTCATACATGTTGTAAGGCTAAAAGAGCATAGAGGCCTGTTGAAACTAACCACCTATTAGTAATGGCAGTGGACAGCTGTTATTTTTGAGACTGGCAAATGAAAAGGGCTCCCAGAATTCAGAATGGGGCCCCCTCCCTGCCCCATACCCTGGCCGGTGCTGACACTTCTGAAGTCCTATGCTATGGCCACCCTGCAGGACCAGGGCAACTGGAATCTGGAGCAGGACCTGGGGCTGTGGTTAGAGCGCAGCAGGCAGGGGCTGCTGACCAAGAGCGGTGTCTCCTCCTCAGGGCCATCCACTGACAGAAAGTCAGCTGGCAGGGGAATATGAACAACACGGTTTGCTGAGCCTGTCTTGGCACACAGAGCAAAGTACCAAGAACTGGGAGCCGAGAGACGATGAGTAATACTGGCTCCTCCACAAAGCTTTGTAGTCCCTCTTCGTGGTTCTCCCACTCACAGCTCTCTCCCTGTGCCCTCACACCTGAGAAACCCACTCTTCTTCCAAACACTTGATGCTCAGAAACAATGCATCACTCTCCTCCCTTTCGCCAGCCAGTTGTGATGAGATTTTGCTCATATAAAGAAGCAGAAAATTATTTCAGTTGTATGACTAATGCAATTGAGACGACAGTAGGATGATTCTTCAGAATATTTGTGTTGTGTATCGTTAATAAGCCAATAGGGAAAATGTTAATGGGGCCTGATTGGAAGGTGGTAATCAATACATGCTAATTTCTTAAGTTTGAGGGTTCTATTTGGATATGCAGAAAATCACCCTTCTTTTCTAGAGAATATATATTCAGGATCTTCAAAAGTGATGAGGCATTACATGGCAACCCATTCTCAAATGGTTCAGGAAAAATATTCTTTGTACTGTACCTGCAATTTCTCCATCCATATATTGAGATACTTCCCCCCAAAACGCATTCATAGAAAAGCAGAATTGGATTCTTACCTTCTACGAGGCACATCTGATCATATCATGCATATACATAAGTACATTATTTAAAAAATATAAAAAAAATTTAAACTCAGAAGTATCATGAGTGGGGTGGGGAAATGCAAAGGGTGGCATTAGGGTAGCTACAGTATTGATTACTAACTCTTTCTTTTTTAGAGTAATGGGTTCATGGATTTTGTTGTTATTCTTCTTAATCCATGCATTAATTACATGTATTTTTGCTTGTACCAAATGTTGTATCATTTTAAAATAACTGTAAAATATACAATAATTTTCCTAATTAAAATTATTTACTGATTTTTTTTTTGGTAGCAGCTTTATTCAGACCCAGTTCAATGCCATACAATGGTATTCTAAATATATGCATAAAGTATACTATTCAAGGAAACTTATATATTCATAGGTTTGCGCAGCCATCGCCACAATTTTATTTTTCCCTTTTGTGCGGTTAGTTCACAACACTGTCTGTGATTTAGGGAAGCAGGTTCAACTTCTACAGCTGTATTTATGCTACAACCTCACACCAACATCCCCAGACCCACAGTCCTTTACTGGTTCTTTGTTCCGTCTCCCCCACTTTCCTTTCCCCTCCTCTGTAGTAGCTTCAATTCTGCAGAAATATTTATAGGCTTCATTTGGGATTGGTTTCGTCAGTTCCTTTGTGTTTCGTTTGTTTTCTGCATATTCCCCATGAGTGAAATCATCCACATTTGTCTTTCTCCTTCTGACTTACTTTGCTTATCGTAATTCCTTCCAGTTCCATCCATGTGGTTGCAAATGGCAATAGTTCATCTGTGTATCTTATAATTGACTGATTTTCCACTGTGTACATAACACATCTCCTTTATCCACTGCTCTTTCGATGGGCATTTAAATTGTTTCCATAACTAGGCTATTGTAAATAGTGTTGCAATGAACACAGGAGTGTATATATCGCGTTAAATGAATGATTTTGTGTTCTTCTGATAGATACCTACAAGTGGAATTACTGGTTCAGATAACCAACAGACACATGAAAAAATGTTCAACCTCACTTATAATCAGAGAAATGGAAACCAAAACCACAATGAGATGCCACCTCACCCTATGAAAACTGTCCATATCAGAAAGACCAGAAAGAACAAAAATGTTGGCAACGGTGTGGAGAAAAAGGAACTCTCCTACACTGTTGGTGGGTGCAGACTGGACTGGCCCCTGTGGAAAACAGTATGGATTGTCCTCCAAATATAAAAAATAGACGTTTTTATTAGGTCATTGGAAGATTTCCAGAAACAGTGGGAAGATTGTAGAGAGGTCTTATCTACTTTACAATCATTTTCCATTATTAATATTTGCTATTATGTAACATTTCCATTATAATACATTTGCCACAATTAAAGAACTAGTACTGAAACATGATTAGCACCTAAAGTCCAGAGTTTATTCACATTTCTGTAGTTTTCACCTAATGCCTTTCTGTTGTGGGATTTTTTTTTTTTTAATGCATACAGAACTTGGGTAACAGGCCAGAGGTGCGGGGGCAGTGAGGGGAGACACCAGAGACAGAGAGGAGAGCACTGCTGAGGAGAGCAGTGGGTGGGGCCGGACAGGAGAACTCTGCTGCATCACGTGGGTCACCTCACCTCGTCAGGGAATTTACACTAAGTAGCTTGGGCTAGCTTGACTGCTCTGTGCTTTAGCCAGTTGCTCCACCAGGGAGAGCCCTGTTTGTGGGATTGTGTATGAGAGGCCACATTTCATCTAGTTACATCTCTTTAGGCTCCTTTTGGCAATGAGATTCTCAGACATTCCTTGGTTTTGATGACTGGCAATTTTTATGAGAGGGTAGGACTTGTCTACCACTTCACTCCTCTATCATTATCCCTCTCTCTCCTCTTCCCTTTTTGAGAGCCGAAGATCCATGATCAAGTTCTCAGGGTTGGTTATAAAGTTTGTCTTTGACCCTTTGATGTTTCTACATTCTACATGTGACATCATCATATTTACCTTTCTCCTTCTGGCTAATTTCATCTAGTATTAAGCCCATCCAGCTCTATCCAAGTTTCAGCAAAGGGAGTAAGTTTGTGTTTTTTGACTGCTGAGTAGTCT